CTAGTAATGCTCAATAGATTTCCACGACCTTGGCTTTGAATCCAGGTTATCAAAATACCTTAGAAAGATTCATCTTGACAGCAGCACTCATATCTAAGTCTGCATTAAAGAAACATTCAATAGAATCCATATTTGGTTTTAACATTTAAATGCTTTGGATTAACGGGCTACTTTATTGGAGAAGTTGGACATGTTCTACACGCTCATTGGCATCATATGCTTGGTGGCAGTGCATGGCCCAAGTCAGACATAAGTTACCCGTGTAGTACAGCACTTGTATGAGGCAAGGCGGTTTGTTCGCACATCCATCCGTCACTTAGCGATTCAAAATAGTGTCTTTCTGACTGTTTTTGAACGGTGATGCAAATGATTTCTAGTTGGTATCAATATCTGCCTGACCTTTGTCAATGTGACCGCGCAAAATCTTGTGGGTCCCAAAAGCCCCTGAATGCAGTTTCAATAAGATAAAGTATACTAGCAAAGTTTATTTGCATGATTTGAAAAAAATATTTATTGACGCTTGAACCCCTTTTATATGCTAATCGTCTATCGTTTAGGTAATTTCCTGTTTTTCAGTCTTTTTAATCTGTTGACGAGATGTTTCAAATGATTTTAAGTACATTCAACTTCGTATTTCATTACATAGGTCAACTAGAGGCGTCAACTCATTGTTCAAGGCAAATAGAATGTGTCAACTGTGGATGCATCGATTCATGGGCCTGGAACTTCGACGATGTAGGGAACTATCTGTGTGGGTGTTGCCAGCATCGTAAAAATAGGCTTCTTCAACTTAGTAACAATGTACTATGCCCTGGCGATTCAAGTATTCAGGTCACCAATACCAAGGGCAGCATAGTGCAACCGGTGAAAAGATTCAGGCGCACCCTATCGGTAAGCGGCAGACCCATAGTATCCCACTTGTCAATTTTTAATTAGCTCTCTATTTGTACTTTAAAGAGACGTAAATGAGTTGTCTGGGTTACATGTTTGACAGCGCCAATGAAACTCATCCATTGTTGCTGTGGTACTTCCTCATAGGGCTAGACATTTCTTTGTTCAAAAATTGAGTCGATTGTTTAGCACCTAGGCTCAAGGAATGGCACGGTTTGCAGTAATTGTAAGACCTCGCAAACGTCCCTCTGGCGCAGGGCTCCCGAAGGAGATGTCGTTTGCAACGCCTGTGGCTTATATCGTAAAATGCACGGGGTAAGTTTTTCTCCCTCTCCAAAACTTAGATTTGAGTTGTGAGAGAAACAACGTCCTTCCTACACTTCTGGAAAATATGTGGTCAAACATTTGATTCCACATCCCAGATACAACATAGAGGTGTTTATTGTTGAGTGCAAAACTCATTCAGTATTCATTGAGACTTTGGGTTGTTTAAATTACACCTGATATCACATCAAGCATGCGACCTACCCTATTGCGGATAGAGAACAACTTAGAACTTACTCAACTAGTGTTAAGCACGTTTGGCTGTTGACATTCAGTCAAGTATTACAGTCTGCTAAGCAGTCAAACGTCGAAGTTCTAGTGTTTTACTGAAGCTAGTGCGATTCTGATTTCAAGTGCTCCCGTCTGTTGCCCACATGTGTGTCCGGTATATCATGCAGCCTGCAGGGAGGTGGTATGGCAGATGTGGGCACACGTAAGCGGTCCCTATTCGTTGAATAGTGGACCACACGCGGAACGTTTAGGCTGACCATTTCCTTTTCCAAGGCGTGTGGGAATAATATGTGTGGTTATAGTTGCCGTTCAAGGTGAATTCAAAGTTGTTAAAGTGAAGGACCTTGATGAGCTAAACAGGCTTACCACTTATTGAGCTCATTTCGCCTGTTTCTGTGATTTGGTCACCAATCCTTATGAGGGGAATTTTCTGTTTCGACTTTAGCTTATAAACTCAGCAAATTGTAAGTATTTATTAAACCAAATGCATATATTTCCATAAATTTTTTTGCAGAATTGGCATTTGTAAAGGATTCTACGTTTCCGAATTCGATGGCTGGTTTGGAGTACCACTTCCAAAAAAAACCAATTAACAAACTTACGTAGTTGCCTTAAAATCTTTGCCATGTTAAAGATTGAGGCTGTCTCATGACAAAACAAACTGAGGTCTTCCCGAAGACAAAACGAACAGTCGATCG